GGACCTCTGGAGATTGTCTAGTCCAACGCCCCTGCCAGAGCAGGTCCACCTAGAGCAGGTTACACAGCATGGCATCCAGGTGGGTTTTGAATGTCTCCAGAGTGGGAGACTCCACAACCTCTCTGGGCAGCCTGTTCCAGCGCTCTGCCATCCTCAAAGTAAAGTTCCTTCTCATGTCTAGATGGAACTTATTATGTTCAAGTTTGTGCCCGTTACCTCTTGTTTTGTCACTGGGCACCACTGCAAAAAGACTGGTCCCATCACCCTGGCATCCTCCCTTTAAGTATTTATAAGCACTGATGAGATCCCCCCTCAGTCTTCTCTTCTCCAGAGTAAAAAGACCCAAGTCCCTCAGCCTCTCCTCATAAGAAAGATGCTCCAGTCCCCTAATCATCTTTGTTGCCCTTTGCTGGACCCTCTCCAGCAGTTCCCTGTCCCTCTTGAACCGGGCAGCCCAGAACTGGACACAGTACTCCAGGTGTGGCCTCACCAGGGCAGAGTAGAGGATGACCTCCCTCGACCTGCTGGCCACACTCTTCTTGACACACCCCAGGATGCCATTGGCCTTCTTGGCCTCAAGGGCTCATTGCTGGCTCATGGTCACGTTGCTTTGATGAGTCAGGTTATGTCTGCCCCCAACCTGTGGGCTGGTGGCCCATCCCCAGGGAGGCACATGATGCCCAGGGCTGGGGCTGCCCCACTGCCCCTGGCTGCCCTGCTGCTGGCTGGGGGTGGGATGGGCCCTGCCTGTCCCCTGCCGCTCCCAGCCCCCTGGGATCAGCCAGGCCTCCCTGACACCCTAGTGTGAGTTAGTCTTCCTATAGTATGGGTTATATTTGCAGACTCTGAAGTCTCTTTCTTAAAAAATGCAGTCTTACCTTTAAACAGTGGAAGCTTACCAGGTAAGTGAGGTACAGGTACCTAACACACATGCATGCACTTCATGTGCAAACATGGCATTTTGGAATGTGTAAAAGTTTTAATTCTCCATGCTCTTTTGTTACTCTTTGCTGATTTTATGAGTGTTACTCCCATGTTTTCTTCTGGCAGCGCTGTCTACTTGCCAGCCTACTCAGATGCCTTATTTCATAGAGGAGTACCTGAAATAATTTGTAAGTGCTGCTAATCTCAAAAATGATGACTTGAGGACAGTGAATTCTCCATTTTCAGAGGCAGATGGGAGGAAAAATACCCATGAATAGTAGTAATGCTTGCACAGACTTTTCTAGTTGTTCTGCCCTGAGCTCTAAGGAATGCTTCTGATTACGAGAGTGATCTTGAAAGAGGATGAGTCCACAGGCAATTCAGTAGATTCAGTGAAATTAATGGGAGTTTTCTGCCTTGGTAAGAGTAGTGACAGAATTTCCATTGACCTCAGTTGTGCAGAGATTTTGTCTGTGCTGCGGAGCCCCACAGCACAAGGAAGGAGGGAATCTCCATGCCCTGAAGAAAGGTTTACAAGGAGATATATTTTCTGTTTGACTCGAAGAAGTCAAATTAGGGGGAGTACGGGGAGTTCATTAGCTGCTATCCTGTAGTGAGCACCTTGTGGAAAAACTGTCCCACAGAAGCAAGTCTTTATTTTCTTGTAGGAGACAGACATGTACAATTAGTCTACTTTATTCTAATGGTTCATAAGGAACAATGTTTTCTGATAGATAATCTGAATAGATCTCACTGTTTTAGAAAGTTTCTGGGCTGCTTGCTTTCTTCTTCTGTTCATAGCTGTTTTCTTCTGCAGCAACTTAACAAGTATTTTCTCTGCTCAGTTTTGTATTACTAAAATACCTGTAGGTGGCCATTTCCATTAAGTTATCCCAGCTCAAGGGTACTGTAGTATTAACTAGTATCAGTGGCCCCTCTAGGCTTCAATGGAGAAAATGAGGTCAGCAGTAGGTTAGTATTTTATACCTGTTTTCGTTATTTTCTTGGTTGTGCATACTCTGCTTACAGGTTTCTGCATCTGTCACTGTTACATGGTATAAGGAAGGTATAGCTGTTTTCTGTCAAATTTGTATTTGTCATTTTCTAAATCACTGTTTTCCTTCAAACTCTAGTTAGCAGCAAAATTGGAAAATATTTCTTCTGAAGTGCTGTCATTGCTTACATTTCCAAGGAAAAAAAAAAGAAGTCAACTGTTTGTTTAACATCTTGGGGATGTATCATGCATAGATTCACCACCTGCAGATTTTCAAAAGAAGGTCCTTGTTTGGAAATGTGATCCTAAATCTGAGGTAACACCAGGGCACTTTGGAGAATATTACTTAGAGGGAGTTTCTACTGCCTTGCTGTGAACTTTTCACATCTGAGGAGCGTGGACATTAAAAATTTGTTTCATACCATAAACCACCAGTAGCTGCATGCTACGCTTTTCCTATGCCAGACCCACAAAGGATGTAAATTGTTACTGACTCTGGCTGTTCAGTTTATGCTGCTGAGACTCATGCAGCTCTGGAGGTCCTCAGTCTAATCCTAAATGTGGATAGGTGTCAGAAGAGTTTTCTCGCACATTCTAGAAAGGAAAGGAAGTATTAGAGCGAATGTACGTACATTATTTGTATGAATAAGCTGGAACTGTTCCTCCCTGAACATGATATGATTTTTTCATTGGCTCAGAATGTTCTCAATAAATGTGTAATTTTCTCTTTCTTATATGGATTTTTATTTGTTAATCTTTTTGTAGACTAGTTTACTTCATACCTACTCTCTGAAATCTTTGGGTACTTTCTTTTCCCTTTAGGAGTTTTCAGTTATTCCCGATGATATCATTATATTTTCCCTTGAAGTGGTGTGTTCATAACAGGATAATGGGGAGAGAAGCTGTTCGGTTTGTGATTGATTAGTGGATGTACAGTCTCAATTCCCTTGGAAAGTGGGCGTGTGATTGTTTGAGTCTGTTTCTTTGGAGAGAGACCATTTCAGGGAATCATAGTTAGAGCTGCAAACAATCCATTAGTCACTCATCCAAGCCCTGCCAGCATAATACTGTTCCCTGCAGTACATTATTGAGTATTTTGTCCAATATTGGTTTGAGTGACTCAAGCCATGAGGCTTCCACCACTTCCTCTGAGAAACTATTTCATGGTCTGACACAGCTCACTGTTAGGAAATATTTCCTGGTACTCAGCCTAAACTTTTTAACACCCAGATTGATCTCATTACTGTTAGGTATGCTTTTTTTCCAAGTCCTGTCTTAAATCTTTTTCCTTCTTTGGCATTCACACTCTTGAGTGAATAGTAGATGGTATCATATCTTCTCTTAAGTCAAGCAAATGCATAATTAGTTCTTCTAGTCCTTCTCTCCAAATAGGCCATCTGTTTGGTGGAAAACAGGGCCGAGTACGAGAAGATTTTTTTCTACTAAGTGCTTGTTTCAAACAAATAATATGAAAAAGTGCATTAGGTGTTCATGTGATTATGTAGCTCCAGGGAGCTACAACTTTTATACAAAATATTTCTCAGAAATTATGTAGAAGATGATAACTTTTCCAGGTGGTCATTTGAAGTAGTAATACCTTTTTCTAGCACAATATACAGCTCTACCACTAGTAGTCTGTCGCATTTCATGGCTTCAGGGAATGTTTTGTAATGTTGCTTCATCTATTTATCAAGCAAATTATACATAGCTACAGCCTGGAGAGGAGAGAGCAATGGCAGCAGAATTGCAAGCAGATCCAGGGGCCATTTGAAGGTCTGTGACAGCTTTACAGCCAGAATTACAAGTATTTGGGTCATATAAGGACTGCTGAGGAAGGGAATGTACTTTAATCCATCCAACCAGTACACATCTCTGGATTTTTTTTCTAGTAGCCAACATCTGTTTGGTATTTTCCTTCCTTCCTTCCTTCCTTCCTTCTAGTAGCCAACTTCTGTTTAGTATTTTCCTTCCTTCCTTCCTTCCTTCCTTCCTTCCTTCCTTCCTTCCTTCCTTCCTTCCTTCCTTCCTTCCTTTCTTCCTTCCTTCCTTCTTTCCTCCCTCCCTCCCTCTCTTCCCCCTCCTCTGCCCCCTCCCTCCGTTCCCTACCATATTCCAGATCAGTGTCCCCTAGCCTAAGGTGTTTTTTTACATTATTTATTGTAGTATAAATTCTGCAGAAATGTATGCACATGATAAACTGTATTTTGCAAAATCTGGGTATGTGCTATTCTTATGGATGGTCTGCTGCTTAGTCAGAGGCTCCTAGTAAGAGGGACACTTAGATTTACGAATAAGACTTCTAAAGTAGTACTCCATGCTTGCTTTGAAAAACATGTATTATGTATTTAAAGCATATGGTTATGTTTTTTGATGAATCACTGTGCAACTTGGGAACTAAGCCCATGTTTTGTTAATTTTTTACCTGAGATTACCTGATGCATGTGGGTTTGTGACCCGGGCTTCCAGCTCGGGGAGTACACAAGCTGCGTGCACCTCCTCTGAACTGTACTAGAAAGGATGCGCAGGTCCTCAGGCAAGAGCATTCCTGAGCTAACTTACTACAATTTTACTAAGCTAATTAAGGAAGAAAAATGCAATGATCAAACTAAGATCAAATCAAATTTGAACCAAATCAGTGGGGTCAGGTGATTAAACTCCCAATTTAATGTAACAGGTAATCTTATGATATTGCACACAAATACAAAAATGCAAAAAAGGAAAAGGCAGGTAAATGACAGTCCACCATCATGAAAAGAAAGCTTGAATAACTCCTGCAGCTTGCTTGTTTTGTTGTTCGCTATCTGAGATGAAGTAGTGATGGATTTGCCAAAGCCTGGGCCATGTGCTGCATCGTTCAGGCACTTTCTTTGCCTCTGGGTAGAGTGTCTGGGGCAGGCAGAGTCTCCAAGGGATACCTCCTGGCACAAGGGAAAGAACCAGTCATCTTTTTTCTTTCCTTTCTTTTTACAGGGAGCTTTCCTTATTTTTTCCACCTCAGAGGCGAATGCTATGGCTTTGGGGCTGAGTTGTATGGAGTGAAGCAGGAAGGGGTGGCTGCAGTTCAGTCCCCAGCAAGTGGCACATGTCTGAGGTGAGGGTTGGAAGTCCCACCTCTGGAACAGTTCTTCCACTCACATCGATTCCCCCCATACATGAGGAGCAAGGTGCATGCAGGGCTTTCAGTGTAGAAGCACAAGTGGTTTTATGTGAACAAACTGTACTCATATTGAAGGAACCGATGTTTTCCCACTCCCCATGTCAATTCCATGGCAGTATTTCTCACACACGCCTGTGTCCGACCTGCTGTCTTCCAAAGATCTGGTCTTCTCTGTGTTCAAGAGTGTGTTCACTTTCCATGCAGGTTATCCAGGCTGTCTTCTTCGGGATCTGCGTCTTGACTGACCTCTCCAGTCTTCTCACTAAAGGAAATGACAGTCAAGAACAAGAGAGGCAGCTGAAAAAGCTCATTTCCCTCCGTGACTGGGTGATGGCTGTTCTAGCTTTCCCTGTGGGAGTGGTAAGTACTGTGTTAATCTGCACATGTCTTTACAAACTGGGTGAGCAGTGTTACTTGTTTTCTGGCTGAAAGGCTTTCCCACCTCTGTTCAAAAGACTGTGTGGAAAGGGAAAAATGGTAGAGGTTATTTTATTACTCTCTTATTTTTTCGCAGGTGTAAGGGAGCACTGGTGTTGCTGAAGTTATTTTTGTTTCATTAAAAAAATGTACTTTACAATAGGAACTTGATTGTACAAGCCATTTCAAATGTGAATTGTACCAGCAGCACCTTGAGAGTCAATTTGGACTTTTTCTGCACTATGTGTCATCAGGAGTAGTGTAAGTGCTGACTGTGGCATGTTTCACACTGTAACGACCTGATCGGAGTTCAGGCTGTAAGCCGTTTTGTCATGGGCAAGAAGGGAAGAGGAAGTCCAGGTTGCTCCCTGTTAATCCCATGGGGGATTCAGGGCTGACAGAAGAAATGAGGTAGGAAATAAAGGGGTTTGTAAAGTAATGTAAAAAAGCACACAGAAGGTATAGAAAAATGGGGGGTTTACACGTCTTTTTCAAAAGAAGACTGATCTTTGGATCAGGTCCTGCTCCACTGGGGCATTGCACATCGCTTTCAATGGCAAAAGGTGCTGAGTGTCTTTACGTGTCTCATACCACACACTGAAAGCAGCTAAAAATCCAGAATTTCATAGGTTTTTACATGAAAGTGTGTCAGTCTAGTTCTAAGTTTAGGTTACATTAAAAAAAAAAAAGTGTGATCCCTTCATTAATGTGTTGCTTTTATTGTAATTCAGGATGAGCCTTTAATTCTAATTTTTTATTTCGGTGTACAGCAGTTCAAAACAAATTCATTAGAAGCAAATGTTTTTTGGGGTAGGACTCCTAGAAAATTGTATGAGGTGTCTGAAGTTGTACTGTTTCACAAAAAGTTGTTCACTTACTGTCAATTAACAGCAGTTAACAACAGATCAATCTATCATTTATAATTTGATATATTCAGAGATGCTTCATTAAAATGTGATTTTACCATTTATGTGGGATTTCACAATACATGACGAAATACAGAATGCTTTTGCAAAGTAAGAAAATGCAAAGCATATATGAAACACTGTGCAGGTATTTCTTTCATAAAATCCTAGCTGGTAGCCTTCCGTTACTGTACTTGCTGGCCTGCCTCTAGGGAGCTGCCACAATTCATGTTGGGGCAACAGACTGCAGTTCTCCAGCCATGGTAGAAGAAACTGGATCAACTAGTATAGTTTTTAAAAAATCTGTGTGTAAACAGGCTTGCAAATATGTGGTTTATGGGTGCAGAGATTTATATGTTACATTTGTATTCTAAGGGAGATTGGGAATTAGAAATAGTTGTAATTGTGATTGGCAACAGATGCTCTTCCTACTGTGTTGGTAGTAGAAGTGAAGGAGAAAAACATCACATTATTTGTTTTCATTTTAAGTGCTTTTTTCAATCTAGAAGTGTAAGCCTTTCCATGAATCAAAGTACACCCTCCCTGGCTCTCTCACACCACTCAGGATTCAGGGGTTCTCTCCTGCTGCTGTTTTGGCTCAATACTGTTGTCTGTGTGCTCCTCCACCCCTGCAGTGTTCCTGACCTTGAAACTTCTCAAGATCTTAGAGAATTTCAGCTTCACTTTGTCTTGGCAATTCTGTGCATTTCTTTCAGGCGTTGTTCCTCTTGCCACCGGTGCGGGAGGAATCCCAGCTAGCCATTGCCTCTGCTAAGAAGTACTGTTGCAACATTTACAAGTTAGCAGTTCCCAGAGATGTGTTGCATACCTGGAGCTAGATACTTTCCCAAGGGTTTCGTACAGAAACAACTTCTGTTTTAAACAACAACCAAAAAAATATCCAGAAAATAGTAAGGAATGGCCATGCTCATTGGACAGATGCTCTCCATTTCCAAAGGTGACCTTTCTGTGGTGAGGGCGGCAATTGATTACCACGTATTATTTCACTTAACTTCTCACAAAGAAAGCCTAAAAGTGTTGTTTTCATTCTTGTTTCTTCTCCTGGGTCCTGGGTGACAAACAGCAGTACTTCACAACTTAACACTAGTCTCAGCTCCTTCCTAAAACCTGATCCTCTCCAGCAGCACCCACCACACCGCACACCACTTGCCAAAGCCTTTGCCAGTGCCTGAGGGACTGCCAGCCACTGGGGGCTCTTCTTTGGTGGGACTAAGGGTAGGAAAAGTTCGGGGCCCAGAAGTAGCAAATGTCCAACACTGGCTTTGTTCTCTAAAGAGCTGTTTATGTGTAAGAAAATACCCAGTGAGACTTTAGTGTGCTGAAGGTGCTTGTTAGAAGAAAGTTACTAAACACCAGTGTCTGCAGAAAAAAATTAAAGTTTCCTCGTTTCTCATAGTCTCTCGACAGCTTCCTCACTCAAAAAAAAACCCCAACAAAACCCAAACCCAAAAAGAAAGAACAAAAGAAGTTCAAATGCAGACTTACTTTCTTTGAGACTCACCCATCTAGCTCTCCATGGAGTTTCTCAGTGGTTTCCAGTAGTGACACAAGGGAACCTTCACACATAAAAATGGGAAGGATGTGAATAAAATCCTTGTTGGGTTTCTAGTGTAACAGCAGTGGTCATGCTTAAGTACTTGTCAGTTACTTTAACATCTAAATTATTTTTATTGCTCAGTGTTTTACACAGGGCATGTTTAGGGAATAGTGCAAATACTAGGGGAACATTTTAAAGCCCACTAACTGTAGGTTTTCAAGAGCAATTCAACACTTTTTTTTTTCTGTATTTCCTGCTTACTGAAGCCCTTGAGATGACTTGTTCTGAAAAACAGATGAGAAAAGGGGGTTCCACTCCCAAGTCAAACAATGATGTGTGAAAAAAATTTAACAAAATAAAGTATTTCATTTTTAGTACTTCCTAAAAAAGTATTACATATAAACCACCTGGGAAGTCTGACCACCAACCTCCTCCCACCTTCGAAAGGAGGGGAAAGAACCAGCCCAAGGATAAACAATCTCCTTGGGTGGCTTTGCAACAAATCAAGTCTTGCAAAATCTTTGTGGCAAATCACATCTCTCCAGTGTTGTGTTATGCATTGTTTATCTTCAGGGGCTCAGATAAAACTGAATTGCCTACCTACCATTTTGTTTAGGAGCATCAAGAAATAAACATGAACCTCTTTGAAGGACATAATGACTTGTGTTTACCTATTGTTGCTCTTTTTAATGTGACTCTTAAGAGAATGAAATCAGAAATCAACAGACCGATTTTCTATGCAGTAAAGCCTTATTCCACAAAAAGTCTGTGGGCAACACTTCCTAGCCTGTTTTTAGTTTATTATAAGGCTGGGGTACTATTCAAATGCCTAAGAGATCAGGAAGCATCCACTGAAGAAAAATACTTGCATAGACATTTTAGAAGTTCATTATTAGTTCTCATTTTTACTGGCTGCACTTACCCTGCCTTTATCACTGTAATGGACATTTTTACTTGAAATAATTTACACTGCTAGAGAAGTGTGAGTCATGCTTAAAAGTCAGAGACTACACCAGTGGTTTAGACTATCCCTACTTTTTTCTATTTGTTTGCCATAGATCATGAAGTTGCTGAGTTCCTGTGGTTAATTAGTGTTTTGTGTAAACTGTGTATGGTTTTATCAATATGTCTCTTGTAATTTGTACCAAACAATAGGAAGAAGGGTAAACCAGGCATTTCTAATTCTTTTAGACTGTGTTTAATAGAAATGGGAAGAAGAAAGAACATTTATATTGTTACATATTAAAGAGAGATTGCTGCCTAGAAAATCACAAACTCTATCATTAATATGGTCAAGGGGGAGCAAGGGAGCATTGATATGATCCGAGGGGGATCAAAAGAGACTTCAAGGCTTTGGGACGGTTGATAAGGGAATCTGGAGCACAGGCTATTTTCTCCTCTCTCTTCCCAGTTGCAGGCAGTGACGTTGGAAGAAACAGATGAGCCCAATCTGTTAATACATGGCTCCGTGGCTGATGGCACCACCACAGTTTTGTTTTTTTCAATAATGGGATGGCCTACACAGCACCAGTCTTGCTGGCATCAGATGGGATTCACCTTTCTGAAAGAGGCAAGAGGGTCTTTGCTCACAAGCTAGCGGGACTCATTGACAGAGCTTTTAACTAGGCATGAGGGGAGAGGGAGGCAATATCAGGTTTGCCTGTGACAAGCTGTGGGACGACAGTTAGAGGGATGGGGTACTAGTGAGGGCCTGCAGACTGTTGCTCTGAGACACGCTGGCTATACTGTAGCACTCTTGAAGTCTTACAGAGATGAGCCAGGGGCTCCTGTGGTAATAGGAACCAACAGGGAAACACCAGGGAAATACCCCAAAGGAACTAAGGGATGTTCCTCTAATAAGGTGACATGGCCAACAGCCTAGTCGAAGTGCCTCTACACCAATTCCCGCAGCATGGGCAACAAACAGGAGGAGCTGGAAGCCATTGTGCTGCTAGAAAGCTATAACCTGGTTGCCATTAGTGAAACCTGGTGAGACGAATTCTATGGCTTTAGTGGAGCCATCCATGACTACAGGCTGTTCAGATATGACAGGGGAGGAAGGAAGGGCGGAGGAGTTGCTCTCTACATCAAGAAATGGATAGAATGTGAAGAGCTGTCTCTGAAGAATAGCCATTAGCAGGTTGAAAGCTTATGGGTAAGAATTAGAGACCAAGTCAACTAAGGAACCCTTGTGGTTGGTGTCTACTACAGGACTCCCAATCAAGGGGAGCCTATTCATGAAGCCTTCTTACTCCAGCTACAGGAGGCATTGTGCTTGCAGGCTTTTATCCTGCTGGGGGACTTCAACCACCCCGACATCTGCTGGAAAAGTAGCACAGCAAGCTGTAGGCAATCCAGGAGACTCCTGGAGTGAATCAAAGATAACTTCTTAAGCTAGGTGGTAGACAGCCCCACCAGAGGAGATGCAATACTGGACCTGGTGGTCACCAAAACAAGTAAGCTAATCAGTGATGGCAAGA